AATCATTTCTGATGACCAAGATATTGCTAATGCTTTTGTTGAATATTTTCAATCAGTTTATAGTAATGATTCTCCAGGTTGCACCAATCTCTATCTAGAGATCAACCTGCAAGAATTATGTATATCATCAATTTCTAAACAAGATATCTGTAAAGCAGTTAGATCTATGAAACCCAAAACATCAACTGGAGTTGACAGTATTCCATCTTACTTTTACAAAGGTTATATGGAAAACCTAATAAGACCTCTGAATATAATCTTCAATAGCGTTGTTGAAAGTAGTGTGTTTCCAAAACAACTCAAAATGGGACGTATAATTCCTATCCATAAATCTGGCAATCAAAATCTCATAACAAACTATAGGCCGATAACAATACTCCCCTCATTATCAAAAATATATGTTCATATTTAGTCATCCCTTAAAATGTATTTTATCTTGTATGTAGATCATATATGTTTTCATTCTTCAATATCCCATATCACAATTATTGTCAACTTCGATTATATTCCCAGGACTACAAATTACTCTATCATCTATCTTTAGTTATTTGGGTTAATTAGTAATGAAATGAAATCAGCAATGGTTATCATATGGAAAAATTCACATATAGTGGGCATCGTTGAAGACTGGCTGTAAATCAAGTCATTTGAAGGAACAATTCGTTCAGGCCAGTTGTCCGACAACAGAACTTATCCGACAACGCCTTTGGTGGTATTAGCTAGAGAAGTAGTTGTTTTCTGATAGTCAATGAACCTACTGTATGGGTAAGGGAGGACTGATTAATTGATATTGAAAAAATACTCGAAACTCACCATGAACATCAATGCAGCCGAACTGTTTTCTCATTTCTCCAGTGTTTATCTGGCACATGTAACATCCACGATCTGACTCCTTGAGTTGGCGTATACGTAACTGCCACGTATTCAAGCTGTCATCGTGATCAATTGTTATCCTTGGATTGTGAGTAATAACTCTCGTGTGGAGTGCTAAAATTGTCTGGTCCTCGGCTTTCATCCATCCCACCTATAAATAAAATTACATTAAATGCCCGCATTGTACTTCTATGCCGTTGCTTATTTTTCTCCATTCTTGTGCTTAATGGAGCACATAGATAACTGAATTAAGCCGTCTCGCATCTGAGATATTTCTTCACAATATCATATCATCGATATAAAAAAACAATGATAAATGGAAAACATTAGTTGAAGAAGGATAGTCTGAAAGGTTATTCAACATCAAATATAGAGTGCATTACAAAATATTGGTGTTTTCGAAAGCTTCGTCTGTTTCAATGACATGTGTTTTCGTAGCTCCATACTTTAATGAATATTCACTCCACTATGTCATTGTATACATGGTGTTTACTAAATATGCGGCAAAAATTCAAGGAACTATTCCTTTAACTATTGGACTATTCCTTTGATGATTTTTGATACGGCGCTATGTTTTGTAGCGGAAAAATTTCGACAATAACAATTTATTACCAAAAATTACATGTACTTTTTCCTAATCTACAAGAACTGTTGAAAATGACTACCCCACCCACTAAGATGCAAGAATCCAATCTTCTCCTTATCGATTCCCGAATTCTTTCAAAAACACCAGGATCACTTACAAAACACTATTCAAATTCAGTGTCTGCAGCCGTTTGTAGTAATCGAAATGTTGATGATAGGTAGCAACGGAGTTGTTAGATTTTTTATTGCTTGGTAGGTACAGTGTAGTACGCTATACTTTTATTTCGGCTAAGTCAATAGTTTTGAAATTACCAGAATTGTTATTATCGAAATTATTTTCCGCTCCGTATCTTCAAGAAAGACAAAATATTCTTAAAATAGTCCAAGGAATAACCCCTTAATTTTTTGACGCATCTTTAATAAACACCCTGTATACTGATCACAAGAGAATTTTGTATTCTATACATTAATGCTGTTAATTTTTTCTGATTTCAATTTTTTGCCTTCTATCAGCTCCTTATTATATGATGTTAACAGATATTTGGCCAAGTTTTCTCTACGAACCAAATGCTAAGCCAGCCCAAATAATTAACCAGGCATTTGGTGATGATATTTTGATGAACACAGTGTCCGACGTTGGTTTGCAAAATTTCGTTCCAGAGATTTCAGCCTGAAAATGACCCCCAAGTGGTCGACCAGGTAATCCAAGATGAGGAGTCGGAGGTCTTGATGGAGACTGACTCATCACAAATGTTGCGTGGGATGACAGAAGAACTGGCCGTCAGCTTTCCAAAACACAAGCACTACAGGAAAACCCTTGAGGCGCTCTGAAAGCGGTGCCTGTGCGAAAGTAGTGTTTCACATTGGATTTGAATCGCTGGAGATTAAATATATTTGAAAAAACATTCTCAGGAAGTTTATTCCACATAAAAGTAGTTTTACAAATGAAAGAGTTCTTGAAAAGTGAAGTTTGAGGTCTACTGAGTTGCACCTCAATACAATTAGCAGCCACAGCCCGTCGCGTATTTCTGGTATGTACCGCTGTTGGTGAAATCAACTGTGCCAAGTCACTTGAATACCTCCAATGGAAGTATCAGTAAAAGAGAGACAAATCTCCAATCTTTCTTCGACGTTCCAGACTATCAAGGTTCCAGTTAACTAGTTTAGTGATCGAATAATTTTATTGAAAAGAGGGTTGGTTGGGTAACAGCATCATATTTTTCTTAAAAAAACAATTGTATTCTTGCCGACGTTTCGAATTCAATTAAATTCTTCTTCAGGGCTCTGTAACAATGAATTTTCATGAATATACCTTCCACAAAACTTATTTCAATTTCACAAGAAATAATGAGTTCTCATTTAAATTACTCATCGAAAAGTAGTTTCTCCGTGTTGATGATAATACTATTTTGAAAATCATCAGACATATTAGATACGAATTTGAAAAATAAAATATGAAAACACATTGCAAACAACAAATTTTCGAGACAACACCAACACAAAACGACATGAAACAAACGAATGGCTTTATCTCTGATTCTGATGAGGTGGTGTCTGTTTTTTAATCAATGGCAGAAAGAAAAATAATGAGAAAAGTGTGAATTATTCAGGTATTTTACGTATCAAATTAAAATATGCGGTATTAAGGCCATCGACATTTTCTTAGAGTCTCTCATGTGTTCTGAAACTCGTGTAATAAGATACCGTCCGGTTTGACCAACATAGCATTTGTGACAGCTTCCACAGTTCAATTTTTACACAATAGCATTCCAAGTTTAACAGATAAATTTCTACAAATTGAGTTTTTTGATATATGGGTTTCACCCTTGTATTTTGAGAGGAGAATCTTCTTTCTTCAATTATTTTTCTAATAATTTGTTTTTGTTCTCCAATCCCGAAATATAAAAGGCAACCCTCGTATCTGAATGAGTTATTTCGGAATAATACAAAACAATAAGGAAGCACTCCAGGGCAAAATTAGTCTATGAAGCAAAGTGGTTTAAATTATGATGGAATCTGACACATATTCATTGTTTTAATTCCATAATGCATTGTACATTTCAAATTGCAATCAATAAAAATACTATTCCTGATTGTGACTCAAAGAGAAAACATGTAAGATTGTTTTTCCAATAAATTTTGTATTCAACCGTTCGACCATTTGAAGAATGAAACTATGAAACTTCTTCAAACAGTGAGCTTTGAATTCACCTGCAGAAACTGTTTCGTCTAATTATAACCCCTTGGAATAGGCAGCTCGAGAAAAAATTGCAAATTATTAATAATCTATTTAAAATCTGTTTTTCCGTTAACCAGATGTCGCACCCCTACGAACGACAACCCTCACAAGTCGAAACTTGTGCGAGCTAAGGATTATCGAGGTCTTATCTTTTAACGTGTGATTCCTAACACGGGATACTGAAAAATACAGTTCAAAAAAATATTTAAGATAAAGTTGTCATCTGTGGGCGCTTTGATATATAATTTCATATTTGGTATATCACCTTCTACCAAAAAAATGTAATTTTGACATTAAAAAAAGTCTATCTTCCACCCAAAAATTGATGAAGTTTATATTTTTGCCAGTTCATATGTTTCCCAAATCACTATAATCACCATTTCAATTTGAATACTGTGTTCTTGATTAAAATCCGAAGGATGCAAAGTTTTAATCGTCCTCGAATTACAAAGAAAATTTGCCTTGGCATTTTAATGTCTTCAAGGGATCTGCTTCTAATTGCGGTTTTATTACAAGGGTTTAGTACATTATTTACATTACATGGAGGGCATGTTATTCAACAAAAACAGCAAGAAGGTTCGCGAAACGGAATGTTCAGTCTCTTCAAATTCTAATTACACCTCGTAATGTGAATCGAGTGTTATTGCCTTTGACGTTGGCATTATTTGAGAGAATAACAAAAATAACGTTTTCCTTTCTTCATGCAGAAACATTCTCCTACATAAAATGGTGACAATTTGAATTAATTTAATATACCACTTTGATGCTAACCAAAGGGTCTACTGAAAATTCCCATTCGATATTAAATAAACTCATGAACAATCAAAATATATTCGACCAAATGTATTAATCGTGTCATTATCATTTATTATCTTGCCATCATTTTCCAAGCCTTCCTTCAACAAGTTTCTTCCCCCAACCTGTGACAATGATCACAAAGATATTCTTCCAAACTTTGAACACGGGGGTGAAACAACGGAAATTCAGTCGTTTCACCGAGTTCACTATAGTGAATAGAGTTGAAATTCAATAAGAATTCAATATGGTGTAGAGTTTGTCGATTTTTTTCACCGACATGACTCGTACAGGTGCAGATGACGAATTAACGCTTCAACACTCCTCTACTGAACGTTTCAAAGTCATTGCATTTGATTTTCAGTAGTGTATGGTTGAAGATCAACCTGGCGCACGTCTATACGGATCCACTGAAGTTGCTAGTCAACATTCCCTAATGTCAAACGCGAAAAAATATATAGCCTTGGTATTCGGTAACACATCCAATCAAACAGTCGCAAATACTAATCTCCAGATGATTATTAATGATGAAATTATCAGGATTTCTGGTTATGCAAAGAATCTAGGCTTGATCTTAAATGACTCTTTGAGATTTCAGTACTTCAAACGTAATATTAAAAAAGCATATGGAGCTCTGAGGCTACTATATCCGCATAGATGTTATTTACCGATAACTACAAAAAAGTTTTATGTGATAGTTTGGTTTTGTTACAATTCAGCTTTTGTTCCTCTATCTACAGTTTTTGTATTGCTAGTACAGTACAACACGTGCAGAACTCCTGTATTGCATTCATATATGGCATAACAAAATATGATCATGCCTCACTCAAACTGAATGAGTTGGAAAGTGCCTTCATTCAAGGCGGAGCTCTTGGCGCATTTCCACAACAGATTTTTTTTTTGTTGAAGTTCTGCCAACAAGATTCATACAGATTCTCTTCATGTTGAAATTGCTTAGCAGTATAAAATGAGTAGTGGAAAAATGAAATATTACACTTCATTGAAACTATTCTTTATGAATGGTGAATAATGACACGTTTCTTCAATCTGTAGGCATATTTTCTGTTTCCGTATAGTTTTTTTGAATAAACCCATCGCATCAATTGTTCGTCCTCATTTTTACATTTCACAAACACTTGACTTCAAAGTTGAATTGTTCCAACTTCATTATATTCGACGAAGTATTTCTTTCAGTTATGAAAAAATGAAAGCTCTCAGCTCCATATTTCTTCAAGTGGAATGCATCTATGGAGAATAATAAAAATAATCACCCATAAAAAAATCTCCAACTTATTGCAAATTCATATTCACCCCATATCCTCCACTGATGACAATACAATAAAAAGAGATCCACCTATGCATCTCACTAATTCAAAATGGAATTAACTATGACACTTCCAGGGTTGATGCATGGTAAAAACGTTTAGCACTTGCCATTAAAGCGATCCAGACTCTCTTGGGGATAAAGTTTTCCAAAGTAATTTATTTCAAAATCATCTGTAAGAGTCGGTCGCTTGTTCCGTGATGTATGCCACCCAATTCAGAAGTTTTGAAACTTGATTATCCCGCAAAGCTGTTGGATATTGAAGGAGATGTGGAAATGAAATATTTAGATGGGTTTCAAGTACTATCATGTATCAATTTGTGAACCCAGATGCGAGCTATCTTGAGTATGAAATGGGTGAAACAGCTTAGTTGGATTAGCTACATCAAATGACTAGCAATGGTCAGCCTACAGTAGAGTGTTGTAGTCATTGCTTATGTGAAATTACTAACAATACAATTGCAACCTGAAAAGTCCACTCTTTCGGCTCCCATTCTGAAGCAATTTTCAAGAATTTGATGTGACTTGACGCCGGTGCCTCAATCTGCCTACACCCCAGATCTTGTCGTGACTCCTCTCTAAGGTTTCAATCTATCTTCTCCTTAGTGTGATCTGATGTGTCAACGGGACGTGACTTTATCATGTTTATCCATTTTTGGAGGTAAGTATTTCACGATGTTATATGATTTGCTGGGACCCTGCGCTATAGCCTTATGCCTCTTCAGGGTTCACAATTATTTATCCTATTCGTGTTTGTATTTCTGTGACATCTATTTTAGAAGTTTTAGAAGTTCAGATGTCCTGGTCCTTCGCTGTGGTCATTGTAGGTTTGGATTGTTGTTAGTCTTCAAGTTGAGTTCCCAGGATGTTCCAGGGCGTGGTCTCTCGCCATCGAATGGATATTACTCTAGAATATTCTGGATCTGCTCCGTTGGGTCTTTCTGGCTGGAGGGGAACGGGACCTTTTTCCGTGGTATCCTTTTGGCGCCTCCGCGAGGCCTCCATGGGGTGGTCGATGGCAGCGCTGTTGTGGCTTCTCATTGTGAGCATCGGAAAATTAGGGGTCTCCAGGCAGTTGGAAGTCTCTGACGGTCATCACGTTTAGGTAGAAAGGTCGCTTTTCGATGATATTTGAGTAGAACTGAGGATGAATCTGACTTTCAGACAGCAGGTTGATGTTCGTATACTCTACTTTTCTACACGTCTGTTGGTCTGGTCTACATACGTTCTGTCGCAAACGCAATTTTGTCCCTGGGGGACAAAAGAACTATTTTGCGTAACTCACAAAAGTCAGGTCAGTACCACTAAAACATCGAATAGCTGAGATTGCGGGTTTGTGAAAATAAGCAGGAATCGTGGAGTGTTGAACCAATTCATATATCTCAATATTCACTTCGCTTTTTGAACAATTCATGTATTTTTACTTACTTTGTAGTGTCCCAAGTTTGAAACAGAACAGCTCAGAACTGCTTCTCTTCCTAGTGCAACAGTAACATTTTGAATTGGTCCAGAGAACTGAGGTGACTCTGTAGAAAGCTTGACCGCGTTATTCATCAATGCAAAATTCTCATCTGAAAAAAAATATGCCACCCAATTCAAAAGTTTTGAAACTTGATTATCCCGCAAAGCTGTTGGATATTGAAGGAGATGTGGAAATGAAATATTTAGATGGGTTTCATCAAGTACTATCATGTATCAATTTGCGAACCCAGATGCGAGCTATCTTGAGTATGTAATGGGTGAAACAGCTTAGTTGGATCAGCTACATCAAATGACTAGCAATGGTCAGCCTACAGAAGAGTGTTGTAGTCATTGCTTATGTGAAATTACTAACAATACAATTGCAACCTGAAAAGTCCACTCTTTCGGCTCCCATTCTGAAGTAATTTTCAAGAATTTGATGTGACTTGACGCTGGTGCCTCAATCTGCCTACACCCCAGATCTTATCGTGACTCCTCTCTAAGGTCTCAATCTATCTTCTCCTTAGTGTGATCTGAGGTGTCGATGTGACGTAACTTCATCATGTTTATCCATTTTTGGGGGTAAGTATTTCACGATGTTATATGATTTGTTGGGACCCTGCTATAGGCTTATGCCTCTTCAGGGTTCACAATTATTTATCCTATCTGTGTTTGTATTTCTGTGACATTTATTTCGGAAGTTTTAGAAGTTCAGATGTCCTGGTCCTTCGCTGTGGTCGTTGTAGGTTTGGATTGTTGTTAGTCTTCAAGTTGAGTTCCCAGGATGTTCCAGGGCGTGGTCTCTCGCTATCGAATGGATATTACTCCAGAATATTCTGGATCTGCTCCGTTGGGTCTTTCTGGCTGGAAGGAACGGGACCTTTTTCCGTGGTATCCTTTTGGCGCCTCCGCGGGGCCTCCATGGGGTGGTAGGAGTGTCGATGGCAGCGGTGTTGTGGCTTCTTATTGTTCTCGCTGCGTATCTGTCCTGGAGTTCCTGAAATCCCAGTGTCGATAGGTGTTCAGTGGGATTTATAAAGCTACTGAAGTGGAAATGTGGCGGCGGGGCTTCGGGTGATTACCATCACCGGACGTCTTGGTGGAGGGGTGTGCATCGGAAAATTAGGGGTCTCCAGGCAGTTGAAAGTCTCTGACCGTCATCACGTTCAGGTAGAAAGGTCGCTTTTCGATTTCGATGGCCTCGTGAATTGTCCGAGCTTGTAGTGTTATCGCTTTGGCGATGGTCTTAGTGTTCGCAAAGTCTATGTTGAGTTCTGTGTCTTGATGATGCTTGGATAGAGCTGAGGATGGACCTGACTTTCGGACACCAGGATGATGTTCGTATACTCTACTTGTCACACTTCTATTGGAAACTGAATCATCATAAAATTATGACAAGACAAAAGACGAGAGTCTTCCACAAAGAAATGCACAACTTAAAAGAACTATTTTGCATAACTCACAAAAGTCAGGTCAGTAACACTAAAATATCCAAGAGCTGAGATTGCGGGTTTGTGAAAATGAGCACGAATCGTGAAGTGTTGAACCAATTCATATATCTCAATATTCACTTCATTCTTTAAACCATTCATGTATTTTCACTTACTTTATAGTGTCCCAAGTTGGAAACAGAACAGCTCAGAACTGCTTCTCTTCCTAGTGCAACAGTAACATTTCGAATTGGTCCAGAGAACTGAGGTGACTCTGTAGAAAGCTTGACCGCGTTATTCATCAATGCAAAATTCTCATCTGAAAAAAAAAACACAGTTTAATTCCATATGTTACCTAATGGTACTTCACTACATGGTATGAAATAAAGTCGCTGTCTGTCCCTATATATGCTTAGATCTAAACTACGCAACGGATTTTGATGGGGATGTTTTAATAGATCCATGATTCACGAGTGAGGTTTATATTATAATAGTAATAGCTCGGATCCCCTTCTGTGCATAGTCCGTGACCATTAGAGAGCAGGAACTAGAGCATTTAGCTTTAGGGCAGCTGCACGAGCAGGTAATGAACTCGGTTTAGTTTTCGACACTGAACGAGGTGACCACTTCTGTCACCGAGTTGGAACCCATTCAGCAAAAAGCTCATATAAAAGCCACAGCATGGTTTCTTCTTCAATATTATTGGGGAACTTAGCATATTTTAAAGGCCTGAGGGGTTCATCATGACTTACCAAGATGGTGTCTTCAACACCTTAGTTTACCGTCGTCACGTGATGGGTATAGAGGTTCCTGACACAAGGTGTAGGGCCTGCCGCGAGGTGCCCGAGACCCTAATGCACTTGCTATCAGCATGTCCAGCATATGCGGTCTCGGCCTATATCCATCGACATAACGCGGCCCTAAAAGTACTATATTACCATCTACGCCACTCTTACGGTATTTAGCAGACACCGTTGTTGCTCTACGCTCCGGGGGATATTTAATCCGTTGTGGAGAACGAGTAGTGACGAATTTATTGGAACTATTCGTTCTCCACCCTCAGGCTCATATAAGCTAATAAGACTGATGTAGTCCTTCTCGATCACCAGAGCAAGACGATATTTGTCGTAGAGTTTTCAGCTCCTGGCAAGACATATATCGTCCGAAAAAAAAGGAAAAACCGATGAAATATCTAGATTTTCTCTTCGGACTCCGCAGACTCTATCCAGATCACTCTGTCAAGATGGTTGTTCTGATTATTGGAGTCCTTGGTGAAATGATGCCCTCACTACTCTCGAATCTTAAAATCATACCGGCTTGCCGCACTAAGCAGAAATCTCAGCCGGACAGATGCAGAAGACCGTCATTCTTGGCTCACTGCGCCTGCTCAGGGCACATGATTCTCGGACTCAATGATCATTTACCCCACAGTGTGGGAAGTGGTCGTTGGTTGATAATGCTGGCGCTCCCTCCCGAATGTATCAGGGCTTCGGAGGATAGGGCCTGACCAGCGCAAACTACCGTTCGAAAAAAATAATGGGTCTTTATTTCCAGAACAATACCATAAATAAGTGTGAACATTTACAGGAACGAGAAAGGCTAGAAATCAGTTGGTTGCGTCAAAAGGAGCAACCTCTGTCTTTCATCTTAGGCCATGTATATAACATACAAGTTACGTATGCAATATACGAAAATATTTTTTTAAAACACTTCATTTTGGACTAATATTACATTAACAGTACGAGCAAGGCAACAAGAATGTCCGATTATTAAATTAACATTTATTTATAAGCTTTGTTTTGTCGACTTAGCATGTAGTTGCGTCTGGAACAGCGGATGTAACTCTATCCCTAAGTGATGCTGGGTCAGTTAACTCAGTTCATAACTTGCATATGCTGCTGGCGATACAACTGCTCGAATCGATTTTCAATTATTGGAAAGGGCACACTTGCAGACCGGTTTCGGGCTATTTGGCATGTCGTCAGTGCAAGGTGATATCTATCATCAACATAAAGTCCATGATATTCCATAATTAAAAATCGAATTCCTTTCAGAGTATCATTCCTCTAACCAAGCTGAAGTGAACGACGAAGAACGAATTTGTCATCGCTCCATCTGGTAAACAAAGTACTAACCAACCGCATATACAAAAACCTTCACATAGATTCAGTGAGCATAGTTTGGCTTCTCCATTTGAAACTGAGCTTTTTTATGTGAGTGTTCCATTTCATGTGACTAGCTAAGTAGATTCCTAAGTATTTTATGTTTTTGATTATGGGTATAGTGAAGGTTTTATTGGTTTTGATGATTGAAAACGAAAGACATTTTGTCTTATCGAAATCAATGGTGAGTAATTTGGAGTTGAACCATTGTTTTATTTTGAGAAAATTTTCCTCGACTCTGCTGAACAACTGTTGCCAATTTTCACCAGAATAGATGATTGCGGTGTCATCCGCGAAGCTGATTATGTGGCCTTCTGTATCAAGATTGATAAATCATTTAGGTATATGTTGAATACAATGGGGCCCAGTACTGTACTTTGTGGGACTTCAAATTCCTCTCAACTCTGCACTTTCAATGGACTTCAGGAGTTTCTGGTGGCACAATGTATCAAAAGCTTTTGCTAGATCCACGATTATGTACAAAGAGGGGTGACTTTTTTCGAGCGTTGGATATATTTTTGTAGTCAATGATTCAATTGCATCATCAGTGGATCTAGAATACTAGAACCCGCATTGGTACGGGGAAAGAATCTCATATTTCTGGAAAAATTTCGATATTCTTACTTTGATTATAGTTACAAGTATTTTTCTAAGAATAGATATCAGTGATATAGGTCTATAAGTGTTACAATCCAGTTTGCCGGTGTAATCACTGAAATTTAAGGAATCCTTGGCTTGATAATATGTTAAATAGGTGTGGTAGAGGTTTTGAAATGATATGTACCATGCATTTGAGAGTTTTTACACTTATATTATCAAATCCGGTTGCCTTATTATTCTTCAAGTTCAAAATCAAATTTTTCACTTCGTTCTCAGAGGATTCTTCAAGGAACAATGAATTTGGTAGTTGTTTCTCACTTTTCAATTCTATATTTGAGATATTTTCCGCAAATTTTTTACCGATACCTGTGAAATGTTTAACGAAAGTATTCGATATTTCTCCGGCTTCTTTCAAAATAGTTTCATTCCTTATTTATGTTATTTCACATTTTTCATTTTTGTTGGTCAATGAACTGATACCTATCTGAAAATAACTACTCCCCTGGCTAATACCACGAAGGGCGTTGGATTATATCCGACAAGTGTCAGTGCAGGATTCTTCACTGAAGTTATTCCTGCATATATGCAGGGGAGTATTTGTTTTCTAATATATGTGTATGGTTCTCGATTCAACCGGTCATTCTACAATTGACTGAATACGTTCATATTTCTCAAAAATATGTACAAATTCAAAATACCTCGACCCTAAAACACCAGGCTATTCTTTGTAGAAACTTATTCGAAATATTTCTTCAAGGACTACTTTCAGCAGGATTCATCTCACTGATATAAAGTAACCAATAATTCAGTCCAACTCTCGGTGTTATTGTGTAAAACATACAGAAAGGGTATCACACCCTTTTGTTCTGGAGAACTTGAGAAGTTTGAAGATCGTTATTTTCATTAAAACTTTGGTGTCTCCCAACTTTCTGATGGAAAAACGTTTGAACTGAAAATTAGATTTGCAGATAACCATCCCCATGAAAATCTTTTGTTTGAGGTGTTCCAGAAAGTTTTTTCCATTTCCCCAATCCTCACTCACTCTCGTTGGAATGGCCTGTTGGGAAACTCTATTCACGAAGCCATTGATAATAACAATAAAATAAGATTATGGAGAGGACAATCATATCGTGTTTACTTCTTCACATGATTGTGAAGTTTTTGAGAAGCAGTTTCTGCAATTCTAGCGACATAATTGTGCCAAACCATATTGGTGTCCATTTCAACCCCCAACAGAAAGCGGAATTGTCTGTCCTGTTGAATTGCCCACTTAAAACTCTGAAACTATTGTCAGAAATGAATGAGATGTCATTCTATTTTTTTTTATTTTTCTTGTTTTTATTTNGACCAATATGTAATACTGCCACTGGAATCAATGAAGTCGCCCCGGAGCGCCAATTAATTTTCATTGTTGTTTTTATTTTATTTTTATCGTTGTTTTAGTAAACAAATAAAAAGTCAAATTTGTTATTGAATTTTTGAAACTTATAAAATAAATGACAGTTCTAATCAAATAACGCTCTGATTCAACAGTGACTCAAAATACAGACACCAAAAAACCGATATGTTCATCTTTTTCTCTAGTTACTTTCCAGTACCAAATGCATGGAAAATCGTGTTGAGAATTTCTCTACACCAAAATCTTGTTTCAGTCTAATGAAATATGTAAAGATTCACTCATCAAAGAAACAAAATCATCATAATTTTTTTCTGTGGCAGCAGAAAGAAGCTAGAAGAGTCAAGAACAACTTACTGAAAACGGGATATTGAGTTCAAGGGATACTTCTTTCCCCATCTTTATCCCCCATTAAATGAATAAATTATTGCACTCACCCACTTTCTTCCATTATTCAGGAAGAACTTTCTCATCGTTGGCTGAATATAATCAATAATAAATCTTACCTAACTGTCGCTCTAATGCTGCATATTTAAGGGAATTTGCCATTTTTTCACTGAATATTGAATAAATATCCAAAGTAGCCTCTTAAAGAGCTATCGTTCTGTTAATTCAAATAAAACAAAGTGTGTGTGAGATATTGGAATTTTTTATTCGTTTGAAAGACCTATTGATGTAAATTTCTTCTAGGAAATATAGAATCTCAACACTTCTATTTTTATACAGCGTGACTCACGGTCGATGGTAGGTTAGACGTTTCTGAAAAACATAAAGCATGATTCTTACATTTCCTTACCTGTTATATCGATCTAAAATATTTTCAGCATTGCGGCGTTGCCACTTCCATCAAAAAGTCCTAGCAACTTTATGTTTTTAAATGGAACACCCCGTATATCAATACATTTTTAGAATCACTCTTCCATTGCAATACTTTTTTCTTGATAATGTCCTAAACATATCTCTATTTGAAATTAAGTACATCAGTACTCTCGATTCATGAAAAGTTGATATTTTGATGATAGTTTGGACAAACTCGAGATATATAAATAACGCCAAGAAATCGACTCCATATCATACAGGGCGTGCTTAAATTACTATTATTTCCATTGTACATAAAAGTAGTCAAAAGTTCATTTTTTCAAATGAAACCCCCTGTATATTACTCG